CAGTCTTTTGTCTGAGACCCTCACATCAGGTCAGGTGTGGAATTTCCACTTGTGGCATCATGTCAATACTCAAAATGTTTTAGATTTTGGAGCACTTCTGATTTCAGATTTTTGGATTAGGGATGCTTAATCTATATTCCTTATCCTTTATAAATGGAGATTCGAAAGTGACTTAATGTACCTTTTCATTTCAATCAGTTTTGAATTCTCTCAGAATGGGAGAAAAAAGACATTATTGTGCTGGTAAATAACAGTATTAGTATTCAAGTTTGGAATTACTCAAGTGGTAGGGCTTTGAGTCCTTTAGTACCACCTTGAGAACTGGGACCTATAATGGTGTTATCAGAGAGAAGCCACATTTAACTTTTTCCTTACTTTGGAGGATCTACAAGGGCATTGTGGGAATACTCCAAGCCGATATAGTTTTATCAACACCACTATAGAAGGAGTGTCATGGCCGAGAAGCTACATTAGGGGAGATGAAGCCTGGGAGGCAGAGTAAGGCTAGTCAGCCACTCCATATTTTGAGCTGGAGAGCCCATGACCAAATCTGCAGTTAAAAAGATCACTTTGGTGGCAGTCAGAAAATTAGTTGGAAAGTGAGATGGAAAGATGGGATGGTGAGAAGTAGGGATAAAGGGCTTCTGCTTGATTATGATAAAATAAGGAAAGTCTAGACTAATGGAATGACAGGATAAATGGAATGAGTTTTTCTTTTTAAAGGATTATTTATTTAATTTTATTTATTCATTCATTGATTTTAATTTGACTAGCGAGAGACACAGAGAGCGAGCGGGTGGAAAAGGAAAAAAGAAAGCCACTAGGTACGGGACTCAAACTGTGGTTGGCCATGTGGGAGTGTCTAGTGCCTTAATCACCACACCACCTGCTGGCCCTGGAATGAGATTTTTTTTTTTTTTAGTGCAAAACAATTTGAAATTTATGCATTTTTTTCATGATACATGTTTTTTGGGGGAGCTCTTTGAAAACCCCACATGTACATTTATCATAAACACAATAGACACACAAAAAAGTACATGTATTTCTATTTCTGGGCTGTCAGTTCTGTTTTGTTGCTCTGGTTTTCTATTCCTGCACCAATATCCTGCACTGATAGCATGCTGTGGAATGAGATATTTTTGACATTATTTAGAAGGTAGCACTGATGGGATATGGCATTAGGGGTGATGGAAGATTCTTGGAGGTTCCATCTGAATACTTACACCATTCACCAAAATAGAGACTACAAGAGGAAAATCAGGTCTTGGGAGAAAGATGATGATTTCCTATCTGTTCATACTGATTGAGTCTGAGGCACCTGTGTACAGCCAAGGGGATGTATCCAGCAAGCTAGGTGAATATGTGGATGTGGAGTCAGGAGTGATCTGGGCTGGAGTGAGACATGGGGTATCAAAACTAAAAATAAACTCTCAATCTATACAAAATAAGATAAGAGGTACAAGTGGAACCCTAGAATCTCAATATCTCATGAAGCAGAAGTATGTGAAAATGTAATGGAGAGTTGCACTCAGTACCATGCAAGGGAAGTATGAAAAGAGTTCTAGAATAGTACACACACAGTCAGGAACTATTGAATGCTGAAAAGGCATCAAGTAACATAACAGAAATATATCTCACGTAGAAAGCCACAGATGATCTTTCCAAAAAACACTAAAGACATAAGCCAGAACGTATCACTCTGAAGAGTAAACAAGGAGTGAAGAAGTGAGTAAGTCAGTGCTCACTAATATTTCAATGACTTTGGCTATGAAAAGATGGTGAACACTAGATAACGACAGAAGGAAAACCATTTTAAGAGAGTGTGTTATTTTGCTTTGGTTTGTTTTTATGGTATAGTTTGGACCTGTTATCTATTGATTAGAAAAATTCATGGGGAGCTGGGACGGTGACAAAGCAAAGGTGTCAAAGTGAGTGTTGCAAAACCCACATGGGGTGTAGCAATGGAACTAGTCTTAGACAAGAAAGAGCTCCTTTTTTACTGAATTGAGAGGGAAAGATTCATGTGTCCATAGATAAGTGATTGGGTGGAGTGGTAAGAAGCAGATAAACTTAATAGAGTGTCAACAGAAAGGTGAGATCCTCTGTTGAGAGGATAGGGAGCTAATCATGTGAGTTTAGAGAGTAGTGAAAATTGGAAAAAGTACTGATAAGAATGGGAAATCTCAGGATTGTAGTATATTAGTGCTTCCTCTTTTAAAAAGCTCAGTCTATGTGCAAATAATGGGATAATGATTGTCACATAAAGTAATTCTGAACACATCTTGTTTTACATAAAACAATTATTTCTTGGCTTCCCAATGGAAGAATAACACTTAGAGCTGCCTTTTGAGGAAGACATGTTCTTCAAATTCTTCTAATGGGGGGACCAGCAGATGGCATAATGGTTACGTCGCTGAACTCTTACGTAGATGACTGCGGTTCAAGTCCGAACCTAGTGGCTAAAAACTCATGTCCAGGCACATGTGTGTGCATGTCCAAGATCCAGAGAAGAAAAGGGAGGAGAAGGGACTGTGGCATGGCCATCCCCACTGGAGGGTGATGTCTCCCTTTCTGTTTCTCTTTCTCTATCTGTCCAGTAAGTGCACGGGCCCTATAGCAAAAATCTCTCTCTCAAAAAAACAAACAAACAAAAACTTCTAATAGTTGTGAAGGCTGTTTAAGGCCTAGCACATTTGAATAATCATGGTTAAGTACTGAGTATGGAAGTGCTAGCCTCGGAACAGCTTTCCTTCAACATTTCATGAACTGACCTAATCAAACTCAAAAAAATCTTAGCACATTGGTATCAGTCACAGCTATGTTTACATATAACAACATTCTATTTTAAACTATGATCTGTGGTCTATCTTTACAGTTTTAAACTGTGAGCTACACCTTTCATGTCAAATTTTCCAAAGGCTTGCATAACAAGGATCTGAAAAAAAAAAAATCTCATAAATGCTCCCTAGTGGGGGAACTGCACATGCAATTACCTGTTTATATATGCAGTAACTTGAATTATACATGAAAATTGCACTTGGATGCCCAGAATCAGCACTGTGTTAATGCAAGAAGTATATTAATTTTTTTGGATGTATTTAGTAGCAGATCATAAGAAAAATCTGTTCTTTAAACTGGGTTTTCTTAAAATAAAATCTGCTAGTTGGAGTCTACTATTTCAAGGAATCTACTCTTCCCAGGAAAAATAATTTGTAATAAATATTAATCTTATAATACATTAAAAATGAGAAACAGAACTCTTTAAAAAGCCTTGGAAATTCCATATTTAGATCTTTTAAAGATTCTGTAAGACTGTACAATTTCTTTATCCTATAAAACTTAAGCATCATATTGAAAATAAAATTTAAATGATAAATGTCAGTTGCAGAAGTTATCACCTTTTCATTTGAATGCCTGACTTCTATTGGATAATTCTCTTCCAAGAGACCTTCTTGGGAAAAAGAGGTGACAGCCAACTCATTGCCTAATTGATTTAGGAACAGTGCCCAGGGAGACAGTCCAATTAAGTTTACAAGCTGGCAATTAGCAGGAAGCCCTCTAAATCCCTACACTGAGAGCCTGTTTACTTTAGTAAGAAGGCAAATGTGCTAGAGATAGGAAGAGAAAGCTGTGCTTTTTGCAATGCTGTTGTGAGTAGGCCCACAAGGGAGGGCTGAAGAAAAGCTCTAGGTATACGTGGGCAGACAGCCTTCTGTTTGACAGGTAAGTGAGTAATTTAGAGAGAGAGAGGTGGAGGTGGAGAGAGGGAGAGAGGGAGGGAGAGAGTGAGTGTGTGTATGTGTTTTAACAAACATTCAAAACATCAAACATCCACTTTAATTAGTGTTGTGTATGGAGACATACAACTGTGAAACATGTAGTTGGGCAAAGAATAACTAGATTTTCTCATAATAGATGAGATTCCAAACATTTTTTCTTTGAACAATATTAACATTATGAATATATTTAGTTGCATTTTTATTACATGGAAGGAAGATAAGCCTTATATACATTACATTATTTCAGATATTAATCACGTTGTTTTCACCAGATTTATTTCATGTGTTCAACTTCAGAGACAAGTAGATCCATAAAATATAAATAAATAAGCTGAAAGTTATTTAAACTTACTATTATGATGTCTTTAAAAACTTGCCTTTATATCACACAGGCAAATCCTATAAAAGGGTTTTAAAAATATATTTACAAAATGTATTTATTATTCTTTGTTTTCAAGTAGCCATAGAGTACATTTGCCAGTGGGTGCATGTGTTTGACAAAGAGAAAGAGAGAGAAAGAGGGAGAGAAAGTAAGAAAGTAGCCCAGGAAGGATGGCCACAACACAATCCCTTCTCTTCCATTCTCCTTGAAATTTTGGGCGAGCACACACATACACCCAGTGTGTTTTTCAAGCTGCTGGGTCAGAGACAAACAGTGCAATTGGCCATGTGGGATCCAGTCACTTTAACCATCACACTAGCTGACCCAGAAATTCAGGCTTTTTAATCATAATGGACAATTAGTGCATTTCCAAATCTTCAATACCTATTGTTTCTTTGACATTTAGAACATCGTCCACTAAGTTTGTTTTTAGGAAATATTTGAAAGACACACATATTCATGGGATGACAAACAGGAAAACCTACATTTCAAGAATAGTTTCATTGCCTTAATTATGTCACCTTCATAAACACTTTAATTTACTTACTTACTGGGACTAGCAGTTGGCATAATAGCTATGTCACCAAACTCTCATGTAGTCGACCGTGGTTCGAGTCCCAGACCCGGTGGCTTAAACTCACACCGGGTGCATGTACGTGCGTGCCCAAGATCTGGAGAGAAGAAAGGAGGAGACGGGATTGCGGCATGGCCATCCCCTCTGGGAGGTGATTTCTCGCTTTCTTTCTCTCTGTCTCTGTCTTTCTGGCGAGTGCACGTGCCCTATATCAAAAACCTCTCAAAAGAAAAAAAATACGCACTTATCAATTTCTGTAACTTACCAAGTTTAAACAAAAGCACACCCAAAGGTCCTCTGTCAAACCTGAGGAAGAAGAGATCACAGATGTTCCCATTTTCATGCTTCTGAGAAACAATCTGAGATGCTATCCACTGCATTTGAACAAGACTGCTGGAAACATCGAAGAATTTACTGAATTGTAGAGTCTCCTTGGGTAAGCGGTCTTCAGCCAACAGCTGGATGTTAAGAGGGGATAGAGCCATATCAAAAATTTGCAGCTCCCCTTGGTTGCTGCCAACTAGCAGAATGGCACCACTTGGGTGGCAGCTTATTAATGAAGGCAAAAGTTCAGCCTGCACTGAGTGAGTCACTCTACGGTGAGTTTCATAAAGAATTACTGAAGAATCTTCACAGCCTAGAATCAATTTGTCTTCAGTAACATTCCTGCAGCAGCTGATGGCCCTCGATCTTAGTGGTATTCTGGTGATGGACACACACTGTATTTTGTTCCGAACACATTCATAGATGCAGGTGTCGGCCAAGGGCTCTTTGTCTACACTGTTGGAGCACTCCACTGTAAACACCTGATAAGGCTGTTTGGGACTAAAACAAACATCCAATGGATCCCATTCTGTGCGGACAGAACTCAGAACCTACAAAAAATACACCAAATATACTCAGATTTTGGTTTTTCTTCAGCTGCTACACAAGGGCCTGCATATAAATTTAGAAACCTATTAATGACCATCAATTACTACCTTAAACATCAGCAACATGTAAATACTAGCAGTGCATACAGCATGTATACCTCTCATATAGAGCATACACACATACATATGGCACAGGTGCAGAAATTAAACTATATGATTGTAACTTAAACACTGTTTTGGAAAATGTGCCAATCACTTAAAGTAAAATATATCTCCCATCATACAAAAACTAAGATGGACTTTTAGTAACATAATATGGTTAAAGAGTATCTTTAATAAAAGTTAGAAGGGATTGGTGCTGGCAGGTGGTGGTTAAGAACTGGACTCCCACATGGCCAACTGTGATTCGAGTCAAAACAAGTTGCTTGAAAATCATGCCAGGCACATGTGCATGCGTGCACAAATTCCTAAGTTGGGAGGAGAAAGGATTGCGGCATGACCATCCCCCTGGG